CGAAACATTTCGACGAATATCTGAAGTTTGGGGAAACGCACAGGCCTAAAACTTGGAGAAGTGTCTTATTTAGTTATCTTCTATAACATCATAATTTCAGAGCTTTTTCCAATGGATGGCTTTCGATTTATTTTTTTATTGCGTGACAGTGAAAACGATCTATAAATAGTACCTGCGATATTTAGTTGAAACTCGCGAAATTTCCGGGATTACAAGCCCGTTAAAAAAGATTTTGAAGTCTGTTTTGAAGGTGAAGGTTTCGAAATTAATTTTTTATAGTCCTCTGTTCGGCATCAGTAGGCAAATTTTATGCGGGCGGAAACTAATAACACGCGCAGAAGTAGACACGGCCTTATCACTCTAAGCCTTTTTTGATTTATTTTCGATTTTTGCAAAATACCTTAAACCCATAAACTTCATATAGCAGTGATGCTGACAGCTTTTTAAACACCACAAAACGATCCTAACGTCTTGGTAGCATTAAGCTGTGAGGGAGAGCGCTTTATAACTACGACAGTTTTGAATGTCTGATTGAAGAGAGCAAGTGGCAAATGCTTCTTCTTAAATGACGAATTTCTCGAGGCTCTCAAGCGAAAGCACTCGACGCTTCAACTTGTGGCAGAATCTCTTGTATACTTATCCAATCAGGGCATTGCATGCTGGTCAAAATGTGTCCGAAATGTCCGTGACTGGTGGCATTTGTATCAGGCCCAGTTTTTTTTTCCCGTGCTACTTCGCAGGTTGAATATAAGAAACACGGCGTGGTCACACAGACGAACACTAAAGGGTTGTCACGGCGTGATGCCGTGACGGTCACGCTCATCTTTGATTTCCTGGACTGTTCAGAGAAGATGACAAAATATGATATCTTAAAAACTTACCCGTAGATATCAAAAACAGAATGTTTAATTAATAAATAGAGAAGTGCGATAAAAGTGATAAACGAGATAAATCATGATAGTCCTCATATGTTTGTTTTCTTTTTAGAATTTTGAGGGAAAACAGATTATCGAAAATCGAAGAAAAATCGTTTCAGGACCAATTTTGGCTTTTCTTTTTGTAAGAAGAATGCTGTTTTGTGCTTTTTGATTAGATTAATTTCATTATCACATTGTTGGCAACAGAAATATTCACTTCGTAATTGCTTTTATTTCTGTTCAGAAGTCTGGCAGGGAATGAGTTACAGTACATTGCGCCAAGCTTTCCATACATTTGTATTTGGCTTTGGTTTTTGTAAGTAAACATCCCAGTTTATTGTATTTATAATTTTTTCATGTTTTCTTAGTCATTTTTTATTCATTCGTCTCTTATCACTTTCTACCCCCGAGGTTTCAGTTAGGAGAAAACAAGCTGTCAGTCAGCTTCACGACTGACTAACGGCGTTGGTTATGACTTTCATCGAAGAGACAGTTAGTTCATTTTTGGTCTGTTGATTGGTTAACAGTAAGATTTAGACTCTGAGACCTACTGGGAAGGATGGCTGTCCTGTTGTTAAAGGGTTTGATAGCACACTATATTCGTAGTCTCTCTTTTAAAAATTGTCAGAATTGCTGTCAATACCTTACAATCTTGTTACTGATACACGCTTGCTTCCAGTGTATGACACAATATGTTATGTTATCTCACTTATTTTATTACAGGGATTTGTCGCACAACCATTTAGCTCAAATTCCCTCTGAGCTTTTATCACGGACGCCTCGTCTTTTCAAATTGTAAGGGAACATTAGTTTCTTCACCGTACGGAACACAACATCATAACAAAGTCCGCAACAACAGTAGATCAGTTTCAGTAGGACAGGATGTTTTACCTGAAATAAATAGATATACTTGAAATGTATAGCTGGCAAAAATATCCAGTCCTTACAAA